GGACGTACACTCCACCCATGGTAGGAGGAGCAGCAAAGCCATCCAGCAAAGGGCAAGGGTACAGAGAGGGTGGCTAATTCCACCTACTGCGGACATCAAGTGGCCAGCACAGGGCCTGGCATAGCGTGGCAGTAACTTCTGCCCACTGTTGTTACTACTACTCAAAACAGGACAAGAGAAAGCTTGTTTCTGAAAGAAGCTAGAAATTTTCGCATTGGATGTGCGCTAAATAAAATCAGTTTCAGTGGAAATACGATAGTGTTCACAGATTTACTTTTTGTTCACTTCTTTGACTCAGGTAACCGGCGCCGTGCCTGGGAGATGATAGGTGTTCAGAACTATTTGATGATTGCTAAGAGGTCCACTCCCTCATAGGGATGCAGCATGGGGTGGCAGAAAAAATACTGCTCATCCCACTCCTCACCCTCCATTTCTCAGCACTGGTCTGGGTTTCAATTCTGGCCCTGCCTTTCACAAGTTATTTGACCTTGGGCAAGCCCCTTAAGTTCTCTGCGCTTGGTGAGGGCAGGATATACTGGGCTTTGTCAGTTTCGTGTTCTCCCACGATAGCTGTGTGCCTGGCACATGGTTCATGCTGAATAGATCTTTGTGTGTTTCGGGAGCTTATGTTCTCTGCTTCCACTCTTCTCCCTAACCCCCATGTCCAAATCCACCAGCATTCACATTGGCCTCCAGATGGCTGTGGGGAGATGGTCACTGGCAACAGAGGACACGAGTGGCATGCGGCAGGAGGTGGGCCCAGCCTTGCCCTCTCCCCCCGGGAGCCTCTGGCAGGCTTCCCCTCACTGTTGGCTTTGGACTCCCGCATGTCCACATCCTTGGCTGTGGCTCCCACCACCATTTTGGGATACTTTATGGGTCCCAGTTGGAGCCAATGGGAGGAAACCTAATTTCCTGCCACAGGAAATGGTTCAGCTGGTGAAGAATATATTTAAGGATTAAAACCTCTGTCAAAAGAGCTGGAGGGAGTTGCTGGAGAAAGACTTTCGGGGGGCCTCTCGTCAGGAAGCCAGGGTGTGAGAAGAGATCGGTGTCACAGATGGGGAGGAGGCGAAGGCAGGTTCCTGGGACTGTCTGGGCCCAGCAGCTGGTCTTGGGCCACAAGAAAGGCTGGGTCAGGAGAGCAGGTCACAAAGGGATCCTGTCCTGCAACCGAGCATGTTATGGTGCCATCAGCTCAGAACGAAGACCTATTTATTGGATTAACTTAAAATAGGCCTGGTGCCCTCTGAGGCTTGTGAGGGCGTGTAACGGACACATCAGCTAAATTAAATCCAGCAGCTGAAACTCCCCATGTGCTAGCATTACTTTGGGAAGCATCGCGTGTGCTTTGAGTGGGACAGGGGAGCAGGAGGACTACCAGCGTTGGCTCTGGGCAGCCCAGGCTAAACCAAGAGGAGTTGTCGCTGATGCATTGGGAGTGAATGAGATGCCATCCATGTCATGACTTAGGGATTGTATGGCCCCGAAGCAGGGGCATGGACCGGATGACTTCTGGAAAATACTGCACGCCAGCCCAGGGGTCACGTGCTTGTGAGCTGGAGAGCACGCCTGTCTCCCTGCCGTCCGTTGGGTCCAGCCTGGCCGCCAGGAGCGCTGGCCTCCCCGTCGGGCCTGTGCAGACTGCCCTGTGATCCTGGTCAAATGACTTTGTTGGTCTTGGTGTGTTTTTATAGTTGGGCTGGTTGTTTTCTTAATGTTGAGTTTATAGAGTCCTTTATTTCAGACATAGGACCTCGATCAGATAGGTTCTTTGCACATGTCTTCTCCCAACTCGTGTCTTGTCTTTTTAGTCCCATAACAGTAACTTTCAAAGACCAGAAGCTTACGTTTTGATAAAGTCGAATTTATCAGCTTTTAAAAATGGAATGTGTTTCTGGTGTGAGAGCTAAGCAGTGTTTGCCTATCGTAGGGTCACAGAGCATGTCCCCTGTTTCCTTCTAGACGTTGCCTTGTGCTAGGCTTTCTGTCAGGATCCGCTTCAGCGCGTTTTTGTATTGGGGGCCAGTGTAGATGGAAGTTCATTTTCCTTGCATTTGGATACCCAGCTCTCCTGGCGCCATTTACAGAAAAGACTGCCCTTTCTCTTTGTCTTTGGACCTTTGTCCAAAATCAGTTGTGCAGATATATGTGACTATTTCTGGACTTTCTTAGGTTCCATCCTCTGTTTCTCAGGGGATTTGTTTGTTTGGTTTTTGTCATGACCACACTGCCTTGATTAATTATAATTAATTATAATTAATTTTTAAAAAATTAATTATATTATCAAAATAATTAATGTAAATAATAGTTTAAGAATTCAAGAAGTCCTTGACTTGATTCTTTCTTGCATTTTTTAATTTATATTCTTTTTTGTTTCCAAGAGGTTTTATTTTTTAATAGTCTATAAAGGTTCCTATTTTAGGACGGCAATATCCTATTTCCCTGAGAGTAGTATTTGTTTTGTTTTATTTACTTTGGACGTTTCCTCTTTCTTGCCTCAGACTTGCCTTTTCCCTCCCTCCTTATTTCTTCCTCGGTGCCTCCTGTTAGTGGCTTTCTTTAAAATGCTGGGTTTGGGCTGTGCATTCATATTTAAGAGTGAGGCAATGAAAACACATGAAATGCTCCAGCCTGTGGCTGATGGACTAACCTGTATAGGGGGAACTGGAGGGCATAGGGTCATTTTGTTGGGGTGGGGGATCCCCAAATGTCAGATTGCAGGTCCCTTGTGGGCTGAGCTGTTTAATTTCTTCATCAGAGGGGTTGGGGACACGGACCATTCTTCACTGTTCTGGGTCCCAAGTGAGCAAGGGAGCCTCCAGGAATCCTCACCCCAGCCCTCATCTGACCTTCATCCCAAACTGTGCCCTGGTGGCCCCATCCAGAGCCCCCTCTCCAGTTTATTTTCTGCAGAGCAAACCTGCCTCTCGCAGGATCGGGGAGGCCCTGTTCGTGGGGGCTTGGAAATGGGGGACAGGATTGGACTGCCTCTTCTATAAGCTTTCAACCCATCCTCCTGTTTTCAGCCTCATCCTGCGAAGTGTGTGGTGCCTTCATCTCCCTGGTCCCGGGTTCTGAGGCGCCAGTGGAATCACTTTTGTTGGCTTCCTCCGATAGGTGCTTGGTTTCAGCTCTCTCCACTCTGCTGTCTGTTCCCATTCGACCATCTGCTTTCCACTTTGTTCTGCTATTTTCCTACGTATTGTTTGGGGCAGAACAGAGATAAATGCATCTATTCAGTTTGTTTTATTTGACCTGAAGGACATTTCTTACCCTCGTCCCCCCTTCTTCGGCCTCCCCTTCCTCCCCCATCCATCCTTCCTCTCTGCGTCCCTCCTCTCTCCCTCCCCTCCACCAGCTTCTCCTATCCTCTCCCCTCCCCCTGTACCACTCTCCTTTAACCCCCCTTTTCTGTGCTCCTCTCTCCCTCCTCTTTGCCTGGAGCTTTCTGTGACATAGTTGTTCCAATAGACAGCCCAGCTCTTTAGGCCCCGAGAAAACAGCCCACATAACATAGAAAGGATTGGATGAGGAACCAGGAAACGGAAGTTCTCTGCCTACGGATCTGATAACCTTCTGCTCTCTTGCACCCCCTTCTTGACCCTCTTTCCCATCCCTCAACTACAAAGACCCACGATGACTACATCACAGCCCACCTCACACTCAGACCTGGGCCTCCTTCACCTTCATCGTGTCCACTGGCTGCCCCATTTCTGCCTGCTCCTCACAGAGTGCCGATAAGTCCCATTTATTCAGGCAAACGGGTGCCCTCCGTCACATGGGGACAGGGACGGAGAGCTCGCAAATGCCTCTCTGCCAGCCCTGCCCAGCTGGAGAAAAGCTGTGCCCACTACCCTTTCCCCGGTGCCACACATAGTAGGTGTTCATAGAATACGTGTTAATATTGTGTGTGTGACTAGACTCCCTTTACCTGTGTGGGACTAGACATCACCTGAAGCCTCCTGCCCCTCCGGAAGCCACCTGCCTGCCCACCTGCTCTTGGCTGATGGTGCCCCTGCCAGTCCTGAGTTCCCCAGTCCCGTCTACTGCCCAAAGTGCTTGTCACGCAGTTACCTGGGAGTTTATAAAGAGGAAGGTTCTGACTTAGTCGGTTGGGTAGGCTCTACCTTTTACACGAGCTTCCGTGGACCCGGCCTGCTGGTCCCAGACCACACTTGGGCCTGGCCTGAGAGGAGGGGGTCCCAGCTGCTCGGAGGCCGAGTCACCACGGAGGACGTGGCTTGACAGGGACAGGGCACTGCCATTTGCCGTGTGTCTGGCCGGGGACAGTCGCAGAACTGAGTGTGGTGTGGTGCCAGGGGCTGGGCTCCTGCTCGGCCCCCGCACGGCCCTGTGGGTGGCACCTGGGTCCCCCTGCAACCACCCCTCACACTGAGAGGCACTCCTGGGAGGTCTGCGGTATAGGCTCTTGCCATTTAAAAGCCCCTTTAGTGTCCCTCTTTCTCTCCCGGACTCATCACAAATATCACCTAAAAAAGAGGTGTTTGGAGTTGTTTTTGTGTTTGTTTTTCTTATTTTCTGATGTGTGAGGGGGGCACTGGGTGAGTGTGGAGAGCGATGAGAGCTGCGCTGTGTGCTTGGTCACCCGTGCACACACCTAAAGAGCTCATTTTCTTGTTCATCCCTGCCCCGCCCTCCTCCCCTGGCTCCTGGACCTGTGCAGACCGGGGCTCCAGTGCCCTTCCATTTATGTGGGGGTGGGTGGGGGTGAGCCCTCCCTCAGGGCCTGGGAGAGCCAAGCCCACTCTGTGGCCCCAGGAGGCACGGCTTCCTGGGTGTGCCTGTGTCCTCCCGGGATCCCGTCCAGCACTGAGTTAGCGGGTCTCTGATCTCCGGGCCTCCGCATTGGGGAGAAGGGAGCGAGGGAGGGTTCCCGTCCCTGCCAGCAGGCTCGCCCGGGCCGCGGCAGGCAGGACTTTGGAGGAGGCACGCCACGTCCACTTCACTGTCTCTCTTTGCTCCTCCCCTCCCGGCAGGTCCCTGGATGGCCGACTGCAGGTGTCTCATCGGAAAGGGCTCCCCCATGTCATCTACTGCCGCCTGTGGAGATGGCCCGACCTGCACAGCCACCATGAGCTGCGGGCCATGGAGCTGTGTGAGTTCGCCTTCAACATGAAGAAGGACGAGGTCTGCGTGAACCCCTACCACTACCAGAGGGTAGAGACCCCAGGTACGGCCCCCTCTCTGGGGTCTGCAGGTGCTTCATATCACCGCTTCCCCTTGCCCCTTTCCTCTCCTCCTTCCTCTTCCTGAGGGAGGGTCTGCAGTGTATTTGGGGGTGCAGGGCCTTGGTTCACCTTTGCTCTGTCTCCCCTGGGCAGTTCTACCTCCGGTGTTGGTGCCGCGCCACACAGAGATCCCGGCCGAGTTCCCGCCGCTGGACGACTACAGCCATTCCATCCCCGAGAACACTAACTTCCCCGCGGGCATCGAGCCGCAGAGCAATATTCCAGGTGGGTGCTGGCAGTGCGGGCCCAGCGGGGGGACATGGGTCCCGCTGTCCCCTTGGGCCCCCTTGGCCTCCCCGTCACCCCCTCTGTGCACACAGCGCTGGCCCCTGACTCAGAACCACATCCCTGTTGGGAGAGGACCCGTGGCCTTGGCTCCCGCTCACTAACGATGCTTTTCTTGGCTGCGAGGAGCGGCGGTGTGACCCTTCCGCCCGGCCTCAGCGCAGTCATTTATTTTGGAAGCGGAAATAGCGATGCTGTGTTCCTCTCACCGCCCTGGAGGCCGGCGCTGAAGTTCAGGCAGGATCCCTGCCGGCCCGGGGGCTGCGAGGCCGTGGGTGCTCTGAGCCGCGTGGGCGAGGGCAGAGCTGGCCTGTGAGTCAGCCTCTGAGCTGACAGCCTGGGTGGGGGCGGAGGCCCAGTTCGCGTTTTCCCTCCCCAGGGAGAAGTGGGCCCCAGAGAGTGCAGGAGCTTTTAGAAGCCCCTCACTGGCATGCAAACACAGCGTGAACCAGCAGCACTCCCGGAGTCCGGGGAAACAGCCCGCAGCACGTGGGCTGGTCCCTGCAGGGCGGTGGCTGCTGGGCGGTGGCCATGCTGTGTTCCTTTCAGAGCGTCCTACTGGGACCAGCTTTCACCCTAGTGAGTTTCCTGGGCCGAGGTTGACGGCGGGCCTGTACGTGTGGGTCACCGCAGTCAGGAGAGACCCACTTTACAGCCCCAGCCTTGTCAGATCCTGCACCGGGGACGCTGCTGTCCAGGGGCAGGCCCCCCACTGTGTTCTTTCAGCTTAGAAAGCTCAGTCAGGGCCGGGCGTCGTTCAGAGAAGCAGATCACGGTCTCTGCTGCCACTGGACTCGCAACCCACTTGGGAAGCTAAGAGGTTCCCTAGAGAGACAGTGTATAACCAGGCACCTGCCCAGGAGTCGGCGCCGGAGCCAGAGTGCGGTTTGGTTTGAGGGGTCGCCCTTTGGAGGACAGCGATGGGCAAGGCTGAAGCAAGTCAACAGCCTCCCTCGAGGGTGGTCTTCAACCGGAACTCGAAAGGAGGGGGTAAAGCCAGCCTGGCCGAGGTTCTAGAAACAAACATTTCAGACTTTGGAGTGGGATGGTGAGAACAGGGGTGGGAATGAGGTAACAATCGGGTGGGGAGCCTGAGGTGGGAGGCGGAGGACAGCGGGACCAGGAGCTGTGTCCTTGCTTGGAGGCCCATGATTCCCCCAGCGCTGCTACTGGCACAGGGTGCGAATGTGCGAGAGTTTGCAAAAAAATCTCTCTCCAAGTGTGGAGGCCAGTTAATAACCCCTTTCCTTCTGCTTCTCAGAAACCCCACCCCCTGGCTACCTGAGTGAAGATGGAGAAACCAGTGACCACCAGATGAACCACAGCATGGATGCAGGTCAGAGTCCTGCAGGGGTGCGCTCCGAACCCCGAACCCCAAGCGCCTGCCCTCCTTTCCCTCCCTCCCGCCCTCTTTCTCTCTCCAACCCTCCCTCCACGCCTCTATCCAGTATTTGTAGAACAGCCACTCAGCCAGGGGCTGGGGATAGAGGAGGAGCCTGAGCGGCCCATAGCTGGTGGGGAGCCTGACAAGACAGGGAGCAGTTACTGTGCATCTCTGTGCTCCCTGATGGAAGTCACCACAAGGCATCAGGGGCGCAGAGAGGGCCCCTAATCCAGCTCAGAGGGGAAGTGCTGGGGCGGAGCAGTACCTTGCAGTATAGGTTTTTCTTGAGTTGAGTCTATAGCGATGTAGGTCTCAGCCAAGTTGTTCTGTCAGGCAGAGGGTGTGCCAGACAGAGTCATGGGGCACGAGCAGGAGAGCCTGGTGCATTCTTGGGACAGTAAACAGTCAGTGTGACCTACTCCTCCAAAATGGGGAGATGCAGGAGGGGAAGCCCCTCAAGGCTTCAAGTGTGGCCCGGAGCTGACGGGGAGCCACTGCAGGCTTTCAGCAGGGGCTGTGCCTCAGTGCCATGTTGCTGGCTGTGGGGTGGAGGGTGGGCTCCATCACCAGAAATAGTTCCAGAGCCTGAGTGGAGGGAAGGCCTTTGCCGCTGGCCAGTGGAGGCAGGCCCCCGAGGCATCTGTTTTTGTGTGGTGACCAAATGTGATATGTGTTCCTACTGTGAGGGACCCCCACCCCCACCCCAGCTGTCTCCAGCCACATCTCCAGATGTTCCCATGTCATTTATTATGGGACCAAATGGGCTCCACACCAGTGGTTTCTGGAGCTGAACCCCAGCTGCCACATGGAATGTGCGGTTGGGTGAGGAGGAGGGAGCCAAGCAGATGTTCCGTTCCGATGATGGCGGGCATGCCTTGTGCCCACAGAGCCGCTAGACAAAACATAGCCACCTGCCTTGCGCACAGCCCACAGGAGAGTCTGCGATTCCTGAAAGATGGACGAAAGCAACTCACATGTCCACTGTAAACGTAGTTGCTTGATACCCAGCCTGGGCATCGTGTCACTTTGGGGTTTAGCACCTCCCCACACACACCCCCTGGTGAGTGGCTGACAGTGTGAACCCAGTGGAATGCATTGAAGACCTTCCTGTACTCGATGCCAAGTGGCCATGGCAAGCTTGCAGCCATTAAATGCTGGCATGGGAAGCCGGCCAGCTAGACAGCATCTCTCCAGATGCTACATTTCTCCTCACTCTCCCTTCCCGCTTCCCTCCTTGCTGCCCTCATGTTTGCGGAATGATTACTGTTACAAAAGAAAACAGACCAAAGGAGAGGGTCTGTATATGGGCTGAGCAGCTGCCATTCCGCCCCCTCCTGACCCGCCTCGCCACCCCACTTTCTTTGTCCCCTCTCCCTTCTTCTCCTCCTCCCATAAATGTACTTGCAGGTCCCTGTTGTGAACACTAGTGATTTATCAAAAGTGGACACGGGGCTTTGTGCACCCCAGCCAGCCTGTGGTGAGCGGGTGGGACCTCCTATTTATTCTCCCTTCTTCACTCAAAGTTGTCCATTTGGAAACCAGTCCAGTGACCCATGGACAGCTGAGATGTGGTGGCTGGAGCCCGAGGATCACCTGGTCTGGTCCTGGGTCTTCCCTAACACACAGGTCTGCTCAGAGCAGTGTGAAGGTTCCGTAGCCTTCCTGGGTCTACATGAGCCGCCACAGAATAGGAGGCCGGCCTTTCCTGAGTGCCTACTATGTACCAGTCACAGTGAAGGCAGTTTTACATGTACACTCTCCCTCCGTTTCTACAAATCACACAATGGATGGTGTGATTTCCCTTATGCCTGAGGGGGAAGGTCAGGGGTCAGTGAGGTTAAACCTCTTTAGCCGAGTCCCACAGCTAATGCCTGGCGGCATGGCCGGGCCCCTGATTCGGAAGCTCTGCCTCTTCCGGGCTCTCCCACATCCCAGTGGATTGGGTGCTGGGGGAGAAAAAGAAACCCAGGCGAGAGCAGGAGCAACCCCCGTGAACAGCTCAAGGGGGTGTGTATGTGGACTGGCAGATTTCAGGCCGGAGCCAGCCCCACTAGGCTGTTAATCAGTGAACAACTCTCCATCGCCCCGCGGGTGCAGGGACAGGAGGGACGGGCCAGTGTGCCCTGTGGAAAAGCGCTCACTTGGTTTTTTTGGAAGGTCGATGCCATATGGTTGTTTCCTTCCTGGGGCTGAGGGATGGAGAGAGGGTCAGAAAGTAGGAAGAACTGTGTAGGTTTGGACTTTTGCCACGTACAGCATTGTGTCTTATATAAAATGTCCGTCTGGTCGCTGAGCTGTGGGGTTTCTGAGGCAGTTTGGTGAGTTTTCTGAAACCTGGGGAAATGGTTGGAATGGTATTTCCAGGTGCCTGAGCCACTGAGAGCAGGGACTGGTGATGTCTGGGTGGCCACAGGCCCCACCTGTATGGGACAGCTGGCCTTCACTGCCTGGAGCTTTGAGGAGCTGGGGAGGGGGCCTTCGCTGCCCTCTCTTACTTTCTTGGGGCCACAGTTCACAGGGCAGGAGGGTGTGGTGTAGGGTCTGTTCCCTAGTTGGGAACTCGGCACCCCTGAGCTGTGGGTCCTGGGGAAGAGCATCACCCTGTCAGTCGTGGCTGAGACCCCCAGGTCATCCGTTCATCCATGTTCTGCAGACGATGTCACCTGGGCCGTGGAGGGCAAGGACGGGCCAGGATGTGGCGATAGGCCTTCTCCTGGGCCTTGGAGGGTCAGCCCGGGGTTTCTTTCTGCTGGCCACCCAGCTGCCCACCTTGATGTCAGGAATTGGGTTCTCCAGCCAAGAGCCTTTTATGAAATCTCACACCTGTGTCTCACCTCGCAGGTTCTCCAAACCTATCCCCGAACCCGATGTCCCCAGCACACAGTAACTTGGGTAAGTGTCTGCTCGTCTGTGTGACTGTCTCCCCTCTAGCTGCAGCCCTGGCAGGTGGCCGGTGTGAGGAGGGGGTCCTGAAGGTGAGGCTCCACCCCAACCCCCCACATAGGCTGGCTCAGCCATCGGGTTTCCAGTTACAGGGATTCTGGGGTCACCCACAGAACGGGAAACCTGAGAACAGCGGTGTCAGGAAAGGCCACTCTGTGCCGGGTTGTGTTTCCCCCGTGATGCTTAGACGTGAGTGAGTGAAAATTCCCCAAACCTCGTGCCCAGGAGCCGAGGGTCTGTGGTCAGCCAAGCGTGCATGCGTGGTTGGATGGAAAGCCATGGGCGGCCGACTCCAGCCCCCAGCTTTCATAGAGGTTTCAGATGCACTTCTTTGGAGTCTGTCTGAGCATTTCATCTTACAGTGATGTCATTATTATTTAAAACGGGCACATATAAGGAACCTGAGAAAAAAAGCAAAATTGCCCACAATCTCTCCACCCCAAACCACTGTTTGTGCTTTATCGCAGTCCTTCTGGTGTGCGTGGACCGAGCATAGATATTGGTGCCTTGCCACGGTGATCACACTGCATATCCATTTTTAATTTTTTTTCTCCTCTTTGTGCTTTTGGTAAACACATTTCCATATGTTGGTGCCTCGTTGATCATTTTGCATCAGCTCCTGATGTTTGGAGCAGCTGGACCATCATTTTCACACTTTCCCTCAGCCCGTGGACTTCTGGGTCCATTTTTCTGAGATTTGCTTTTCTACCCCAGGGAAGACCTCAGCTCCAGGGTGGGGCCTGCTGAAGGGCTTAAAGCAAATAAAACATCCATTCCACTTTTATTGAAGGGAATGCTTTATGTGCTGGCCTGGCAGCTTTAGAAAAATGTGAGTTTGATTTTGTTTTGGCCTTCATTGCTGAGGCTTACTGTGTGGCGCAGGAAAAGAAATAGTTAATACCCAAGCTTGGTGAATCGGAGGGGATTGGCCTGTCTTCATTTCCAGGCCTTGACTGATAGCATCAGGTGAAGAAAGCCATCCCCTGGAACAGTGAGAGAGGCTTGAAAGCCCTGTAATGCGGGCTGACCAGTGGGCAGGGTGAGATGGGACTTTGAGATCTGTCCTAACATCTTGGTAAAATAATATCACTGTGAGTGTTGGGCTTTGGAGAGGGAAGGTCACATTCGATGGGAGAGGACTGATTGAATTATTTAAAAAACAGACTCTGCGGGCTAGAAGCCACGCTCACACTCAAGAAATGAAAGGTCATGATTATGAATTGGACTCTGGGCTTTGGTCTTTGAGGTGACCCCACCCCGTGACCCCCGCAGCACTTCCTCTCCTAGACTCTGGAGCAGGCTCACCTTGGAGACCCCGCTGCCTGACTCAGGAAGCAGATGGGCAGTTGTCACTTGCTGTGAACTCATATCTGCCTTGTGTGGACTAGGATGACAGGATGGTTCTCGAACGTGGACCCAAGGCAGAGTGTCCTGTTGACGCATCCCTTCCTCCCCATTCCTCAGGCCTGTTTCTGAGGGTTGAGAATTCTTAGGTCATTTCTCCCAAAGGTAGGAACAGGCCTCGAGCTGGGAAAGCAAAGAGTGGGTGCCACTCTGCTGGGGAGGTCTGAATGGGGGGGACGAGTCAGTTGACGAGTCAGGGTTAGGACTCATGGTGAGACATAATGCTGACAGGCTTGGCTTTCTCTCAAGCCCTCACACCCCCACCTTCATCCATTTAAAACTATCGGCTTCATTCCACCCGTAAAATCTCGTGGATTCCTGGCCTCAGAGCTGGAAGGGAGGAAATGACGGTGATGACAATGGCAAACATTTCTGGAGAACTTACTATTTCCTGTGTCGCTCATTGTTCCAGGCCAGTCTTCATAACAACCGTCTAAGGTAGTGGTTTGGTAGTTTTTCATTTCACAGGTTAGGAAAGCAAGGGGCAGGCTGCTTAGCTAACTTGTCCCAGGCCACACAGCTAGTAAGTGGGGAAGCTGGCTTTGAACTCGGGCCTCGGGACCCGGAGCACGTGCTCCCGTCTGCAGTAGGGCACTGCCTTGCTGGGGCATTTAGACCAGTTTCCCTCGTCCCACCACCTTACTCAGAAGACCCAGGCTCAAGAAGGGCATTTATTAATTTACAGTCAGCGACAAATGTCAGGTTGAAGACTGTGTCCCAATCGGTCCCTGGATGGAAACCTGTCCACTTGCACCTGTCTCTTCCTTACTCATTCCCCAGGCACTTCTTGCCCAGTGGCTGTGTGCCCGTCCAGGTTGGGGGGATTTGAAGAGGACTCACAGACCCTGCCCTCTATGTGCTTACGGCCTTGCTGGGATAAATAAGGCAGGACTGTGCATAAGTATAAAACAAGAAGTAGGTGCAGATGAAGTACCCTGAGAGGTCACAGGAGGTAGCGGTGGTATTCCAGTGGGTACAGGCTTGCCAGTGTCTCCTATGTATGAACTCATACTGACACTGGTGGCCCGGAGCTGGGGATGATACTTAGGAATCAAGTCTGGCCGAGTGGCTGGAGGTGTCCGTGTCCACCTGGGAGGCATTGTGCCAGATGCCAAGGGAGCAAGCACAGAGGAGGGAGGAACGATATATGCCAAGGAAGAAGGTGCCGGATGGGATGGGAAGACCTCAGAGCTGTGGCAACGCGTGTGAGCTGGACCCTGAAGGACACACAAGTAGGATGCCATGAGGAGGGGAGGAGGGAAGGACATTGCCGGTGGATGGAATGGCATGAAAGGGCCGGTTGAGCTCCGAGGACAAGCTGGTGGACAGCCTTTCCCAAAGTGGGGTCAGGAGACAGGATTTTTCATCAAGTTGGAAAAGCCTGCACTCCCCTCTCATGGGGCCCCAAGGCACTGGCGTAGTAAAGCCTCTGAGAAGTCCTGCAGGAAGGAGGCCCGTTTGATCAGCATCGCTCCCTCGGACCTGACCGCTGTTCCATCACTTTTGTCTTATAATCCCATTTACCACGCAGAGACGGCACTTTGGAAACACGGACGAAGGTTCGGCTGAAGTTGTAGGAGTGGTTGAATTCAGTGGAGAGGGAGACCCAGCTCAAGAAGGAGAGAGAGGGAAAGGGACCGATGGGGGGCCCCTTGTGGGATGGACAGGGTTGAGAAAGAGGCTGGGGGTCAGGTGCAGGACGGGCCACAGCAGCCAGAGGGATGGGAGATGCCAGGGAGGTCCCACAGAGATGCAAAATGAGATTAAGAAGAGACCCAGAGTTTGACATCAGGAGTTCCAGGGCATCCTTTGGAGAGCCGGTGTCGGGAGGGGTGGTGGCGGAAGTTGGTCGAAAATGGGCTGAAGGGCAAATAAAGGGCGAGGGCGGGGAGGGAGCCCACAGCGGCAGCCCTGGGTTCCTTCTTCCGCCCCTATACCAGGCGGTATGTCCCAAACGGTAAGGAGATGGCAGGCACACAGCAAGTGCTTCCTAGAGAAAGATGGGGACATCTCAGGACATCTCGTTATTTCTTGTGAATAAATGATTACACAAAAAGAAATAGACATAGGCTATTTGGTTCCTTCTTCACTTCCTCCCCACTCCAGGCGAAAGGTTGGGCCTCCCGCCACCGTAAGTCACTTCAGGTGACTCACGGGAGCTCCAGTGTGTGACTGAGAGCCAGCTCAGCCTCCCGCCAGCGGCTGCGGGAGACCCCGGGCTGTGTTTTCGGGGTGTGAGCAGGTGATGTTCCTGTTATTGCGCACCGTGCTGCCTGAGTCACCTGGAATTTCCTAAGCACCTAAGGCAGAAGGATTGGGGCAGTTGGAGAGGAAGGAGGAAGGAGGAGGGAGGTGGGGAGAAAGGAAATGATAACGATCTGGATCCTGCTGGTGAGTAAGTTGTTTTCTGCTTCTAAGTGAGACATTCGGGATGGGCCTTGACCTAGGGAAGCGGGTACCAGGGAGTGCCCGGGGCAGCAGCTGAGCGGAGTTTAAGGAGGTGATGGTTCCTCAGAGCACCTGGGGCAGAGGCACCTTCCTCTCCTCCCAGGAGAAGGGCTGGGGCCGGGCAGCAGGACCCCCCGGGGCCCTGACAGAGGACTTGGGTCCAGTTGCAGCCCTTCCTGCGGCTGCACATGGCCTTTCCCTCAGGGGAGTCAGAGGAGCTCAATGGCAGGAAGTCAGCTGCCGGCCCTGCCCTCACACTCCCGAGGGTCCCGCTCTGAGACTTTGCTGTGGTTCCTGGTCTGGGCGAGCCGGCGCTAGGCTGACTGCGCGGGGTTCCTTCTGTGTACACTCTGGTGTGTGGCCCTCATCTTCAGTGAGAGGGGCTGGAATGGGTGCCCCAGAGGCGGGGACCCAGATGGCCCGGGTCTGCAGGAATAGCGCTGAGGTGCGCAGGTGGCTCAGACACAAGGGGCCCATCCTGCAGGGAGGGGTCAGGCAATGCTCCACAGCCCCGGGAGCTGGGCCCTGACAGTCGGGGCTGGGGCGCCCAGGTAGAGGGGACAGCAGGAGAGACGGTGGGGATGGCGTGGGGAGCCTCCAGCCTAAGGTGGAGCTGCTTCACCCTGAGGAGCGAGCGCCCAGAGGAAGCCAGCCATTCAGGTTCGCCGTTTGGCCTTGCAGTGTTGCGCTCCTGGCCTGGCCTGCTCCCTGCTTTCGATTTATAGTAGAAAGTTAATTTCCCCTCTGGCCTCCCCCTTCCTCTACCGGATTTGGATTTCTTGCACATGTTTTTAATAGGGATCCCTTAATCCAAGTGTTGCCTTCTGGGTTTTATTCTGTTTTCTTTTCCTTAAACAAAACAGAAAGTCTATGCCAGTTTGGAATAGGGCTCAAAACTGAAGCCAGCCCATGTGTAAGACTGGCAGGGGGCCAGTCATGAATTAAGTGCCCCATGCCACTCGAGAAGTCTGGCCGACATCACACTGGTAGGGGCAGGGGCCGAGCACGGCTGGAGGGAGGTTCCTGCGTCTCTGACAGAGACGCCTCTGCTCCAGGAACAGAGATTAGCACCGACTCAGCAGTTTGGCCGCGAGCAGGGAAGGCCTTGGGCACACTCCGTCACCTCCCATTCCAGGTGTGCCAAGCCCTTGGCCTAGAGGTGCAGAGCCATGCTCCATTGGGGCAAGGCATCTCACCAGACTACAGGGTCATCCTCCCAGAGTAGCCTTTGGATGGGGTGTCTTCAGGTTCCTTTGAAGAAGCAACCCCATGTAAAATCCTTTCTGCATTTGTTGGGACACTCGAAAACCAGGGCTGGCTGGCTTGATTGAAGTGGGGGAGGGGTTACCCCCTGATGGACTTCTTTTAAGATTTTGTGCTAAGACAAGCATTGTTTCCCCTGCAGAACTAGTAAGAATTCTGTCCACCAACCAGAGAATTGTAGCATATTCTCCCTTTTGCCTTGTCTGCTAGGAAGCTCAGAGCCCAGGTGAGGGTTCTTTCAGTAGCTATAATTCTCTGGTTATACCATGTATAGCCTTCTCTTTTCCAGGGTCCTGACTCTTTGTTTCTTTTGTACTTAACCATAATGTGGATATGTCTTTAGGTGGGAAAGAAATGAGGGCGTATGCGAGGTTTAAAAATGAAGTGCCATTCAAGGCAGAGCTTGGCGGTGGTGATCTTACTTTGGGTCTGCTACTCCTCTTGCAGAAGTGCCTTGAGGAGCAGCTGAGGGGTGGGGGAAGGAGAGAGGTGGAAGGCATGGTGGGCTTTGAATTGTTTGCAGAGGGTAATAAATGTGTGGCTGGGGGTGCTGCTCTGGTTCGGAATGCAGGTCAACGCGTCTACACAGCCCTCTCTGAAGTGGCTGCTTCCAGACCGTCTCAGCCTGACTGCACTGCGCCTTCAGACTAGCATCTCCTTGATTACGTGTCAGGCTCCTGCGTCCAGCGTTTTCCCAACACTGTCCAGTGTGTGTCTGCAAGTTGCAGAGACGTTTGGATAAGGACTCCGATCTGCTTGGGGGGACTCCTGGGCCAGGCCCTTAGGTCCCTCTCTGGTTGAGACATCTTGAATCCATACTTCCCCAGAGTGAGGTTCCAGCTCCATGTCACCGGACGGTTGGCCCGGCGGCTTTTGGTAGGTGGGCTATCTCAGTGTCCCTGGGTACCTCGCTGTCTGTCTTCCACCTGGACTAAGCCCTGGGGTGCTGGATAGGGATTTATAACTTGGGGGGAAGACTCTTTCTGTTCTGCACTTTGCTGGGCAACCAGGGCCAGCCCAGATCAGCCACAGCTGCACCTTCAGGCCAACTCATGCCAGAAGACAGTGACCTAGATGGTCTGCTTTAGCTGTCCTCTAGCGCACTGCAGATACTCTTAGACTGGGAAACTGAGGCCAGAGAGGGACGTCACATCCCCCATCCGCAAGGGCACACAGCAAGATCAGCAGAGCCTGCCTGCAGGCCATGGTGGCCGGCGGCCCTTCCCCAATACCTCTGGTCCTGACATGTTGCCCGACCACTTTGAATGCTTGAATTGCACTTGGGTTTATTTATTTTTTAAGGTTTCCAAAGCAACACGGCTCCCATTTAGTGACCACATTGTTTAGAATATAGCTTATCTCGTTGGAATGTGGAAGCATCCCGCAAAGGCTGAGCCGGAAGTGGCTCAGATCCACTTGGGGCGCACAAGCCACAGGCCACGGTCACTCCCGCCTCATCACGCCCCGTCCACTGAGGAGCTTAGATCTCCCGCCTTCCTTCCCTTCCCTCCCTGCTCCCTGGGAAGAGAGGAAAGGGGCAAAGCGTCCTCTTGTGATGGAGGTGAGAACAGGAACAGGATGTTCCCAAGGTCAAATAAGCCAAGTTGTAATTGTACACACCATTTCTCGAGTGATTGATGCGAGCTCCGCACTTCTTAGGAGTTGTCTCCGCCCGTCCACAAACAGGGCCTGTGGTGGAAAAGATTCTCCGCTCAGGTGGCTGGGGCAGGGCATCTGGAAGCTGGAACTCAGTGGGGCTGGTTTGCTCAGCCACACGGCTAGTCCGTGCCAGAGCAGAGAGAGAACTCGGGTCCACCTGGGTTTAAAGCTGGCGCTCCATGACCTGGTTGACAGCTAGGGCAATCATTTTTAACCAGTGGCTTTTTGTCCCCTAGAAGACAGCTTGCAATGTCTGGGGGCATTTCTTGTTGCCAGCGCTTGGGAGGGTGAGATGGATGGGCGCTACTGACGTCTTGTGGGTAGAGACCAGGGGTGCTGCTAACCATCCTGTAATGCCCAGAGTCTCCCTCTCCCCTAAACAAAGAAGTATCTGGCCCAAACTGCCAACAGCGCCGTGGTTGAGTAACTGATCTGGGCGTCCTAACTCTCCGGCTGACACGCTCTGGGTGTGTGTTGAGTGCAGGCACGGATGTCCATTACCGGTCCGTACCTCCCACGCATGGACACAGCCTCTGCCCTTAGAAGGGAACGTGGGCACAGATCCCAGGAGATGAGGGCCACTTGGCCCTGCAGGGGGCACCCAGGCCCCTCTCAGAACAGCTTCTGGTTTCTCTCTCTCGGGCTTTACACCCTTTCAAAGGTCTGGTGAGCAGAGGGTCCTGCGGGAACTCGCCCCAGGAAGTTGCCTGGCAGATGATGAGCAGGGGTCTCAGGCCTGTGCTGAGACTTGGCCTGGCCCCCTCACCAGCTCCCATAGGACCCACCCAGGTCGCCAGGCTCCAAATATCTGTCAGAGCCAGAGTGAGTGACCAGGCTGGGGGTCTGGGGTGGGGGCGGGGGAGAATGAGCAGGGGCTCCCTGATCCTCCAACCACGCAGGCAGAGAGCAGGATGTGGGGAGCTCAGCCTCCCGGCCAGCCCAGCGGAGCAAGCAGTGCAGAGAGGCAGCTGGAAGGGGTGGGACTGGGGACATGATGTGAGTGAGGAGTGACGAGCGCCGGCCAGTGCGGAGAGGTGAGAGGTGATGCCGGGTGGGCAGGAGGAGGACAGTTGCCGCTGGGGAGCCCAGAATGGCTGGAGGTGGCAGGAAGGCTAGGGGTCACGTGGGATCACATGAGGGGAAACTGCTATTTCAGGGGTTCCCGACTCTTCTGAGAAAGAGAACCAACACCTCACAAGAGAGCAGTTTTGCTCTGAGGAGCCCTGAATTGGGACTAGAGACATAGCTAGGACAAACTCAGAACTTCTTTCAGGCGCATTTGTGTCTGAGCCACTCTAGGAGGTGGCATCTAGAGGCATCCAGAGGTAGTTTCCGGAATGAGAGCCGTGGGCCGGCCCGCTCTGCAGACAGCGCCAGGTGCCCTGTGGTCGCCGACCCTGTGCACAGTGCAGGGCCCCCTGGGCTGCGTTGCTTCAAGGCTGGGAGGCTGCTGCTTGGCAGGCGAGGGCTAGGCGCTTGCCTGAGAACAGGCAGAGCCAAAGGCAGAAGCCCTTTGGGGGGCAGAGGTCAGCATGGATTACATAAGGGACTTGGAAGAAAGGCCGGGAGGGGCCGTGTCAGCGCAGGGAGTGCACGGGCCCTGGTCCTCTTTGGTCTGGCCCAGCACCTCCTTGAAGACTGCTTCACCCCAGGGCCAGGCCAGGCAGGACAGGCCCTGAGAGCTAAAACTAAAGGGGCTGGGGGGAACTTCTCCCAACACCTGAGTATTGAGGCCATGGGATCCTGCAAATTTTAGACAATGAAGGCATGAGGGCGGGATGGTAATGCCCTCTGAGAGGGAGAGAAACAGTCTTCTGGAGCATCCGGGGGACCCCACTGACCCGCAGCCTGGCCTGTCTCCCAGACCTGCAGCCCGTCACCTACTGCGAGCCAGCCTTCTGGTGCTCCATCTCCTACTACGAGCTGAACCAGCGTGTCGGGGAGACATTCCACGCCTCGCAGCCCTCCATGACAGTGGATGGCTTCACCGACCCCTCCAACTCGGAGCGCTTCTGCCTCGGGCTGCTCTCCAACGTCAACAGGAACGCCGCCGTGGAGCTCACGCGGAGGCACATTGGTAAGAGCAAGGGCAAGGGGCTGCCAGTTCCCCCCTCTCCCACCTCTGGCCCCAGTGCAGCCTCCGTGCTGGGCCTCCTGCTAGGGACCAGGGAGAGGACTCTGCCCCATCCCCACCCTCCCGTTTTGTATTGTCTCGTTTAGGGACCAGAAAGGTAGAGTTCAGGTTGCTTGGTCATTCTCACTCACAGACACAGACAGATCGTCTCTGAACATTTGAAAGCCACAGAGGAAAACACTTCACTTAAGGGGACAAGAAAGGGGAATCTGTACGAAAGGCAATGTATGCGGTTCTCTCTTTTTTTAAAAAGGGGGAGAATGATGATTTTTATTTTTATTTTTTAAAATATATTTTATTGATTTTTTACAGAGAGGAAGGGAGAGGGATAGAGAGTTAGAAACATTGATGAGAGAGAAACATCGATCAGCTGCCTCCTGCACACTCCCTACTGGGGCTGTGCCCGCAACCCAGGTACATGCCCTTGACCGGAATCGAACCTGGGACCCTTGAGTCCACAGGCTGACGCTCTATCCACTGAGCCAAACCGGTTAGGACACAAATGTGGTTCTCTTAATAACTATGCACTTGAACGACTGATGGGTGGATAGGTGGGCAGTCTGTCTTGGAGGTGTGATCTTTTGTTTATTAATTTCGTACATGATGATGATTATTTTAGAAACTTATAGTATGAACTGCCCACTGCTGGGACACCACTGCTGCTGGCGTGCTGCCTTCCAACACCCAAAACACAGGACAAGATTACCTAGGTTAGGCATGATGAAGCCTTGATATTTATCACTTGGTTTGCTCATAAAATATCACACTAAGGATATGCATAATTCTGTGACCCAGAGTCACTTAGAAGGGCTGTGGAAATGGAGGCATGCGGCCCGCTGGCTGCGAGTTTGACGTGCTTGGCACTGTAGTGGGTGCAGGGGGGATTCTCTGGCAGCATCCACAGCCCCCAGGGCTGGTCGAGGGACTCCAGGGCAAAGCCGGAAACTGGGCAGGGCAGCGGGGTCAGGCCCACGTGGACCAGAGCACCGTGGCTCATGTGTATGATCTTGGGCATTAACAGATGAAGAGAGGATTTTGAAGTTGAGAGAAAAAAAGTTTGGAGCCATGGGTAGACCCCTGTGGTGTGTGCTCGTTTTCAGGAATCATCTGCTGCCCAGGAAGGGGCAGAGCCATGCAGGGCCAGACAGCAAGTGTGACACAATCAGTGACAAACAGCCCCTGCCCCGAGCCCGCGTCCTTCCCAGACGGCCTCCCGTTACTTTACTTAAAAGAAGATACTGATCTTGGGAGTTGCTGATTTCTCTTTATACTTTTCTATATTTTAAATTTTTTAAAAATTACCATAACAAAATATTTTTGTTCTCTTGGTCTGGGGTTCCCCACCTTCACTTCTGCCTCCCACTTTTTTTTTTTTAATCTTCACACATAGATATATGTATATATCCTTTCAGAGAGGAAAGGAGAGGGAGAGAGAGATAGAAACATGAATGATGAGAGAGAATCACTGATCAGCTGCCTCCTGTATGCCCCCCACTGGGGATTGAGCCTGCAACCCAGGCATGTGCCCTGACGGGGAATCGAGCCGTGATCTTCTAGTTGGTAGGCAGAGAGAAGAGAGAAGAGAGAAGAGAGAAGAGAGAAGAGAGAAACATCGATGTGAGAGAGAAGCATTGATCAGTTGCTTCCTGTATGTGTCCCAACCAGGGATTGAATTGACAACGTTTTGTGTCCGAGATAGCTACCTGACCAGGACTGCCTCCCACTCTTGATGGACGTGCACAGAGGTTTTCTTGAGAACCCCAAGTCTGTCCTAAACACTGAACCAGGAGGGAATGGGGAGTGGTGGGGTGGGACAGTAATGGGGTGAGGAGACAGGAGGACCTCCAATGGCCCGTCAGTCCGTCGTCTGGTTTCCTTCCCACTTGACGTTGTGCCTGTAGTCTGGCTCCGTTTCCCAGCCCTTGGGGCCTCCTCCCTAGGAGCTGAATGGAGCCCTTCCTTGCAGGAGAGGGGAGCACCCGCCCCCACCCCCCCAGCTGCATGGGGAACTCATTGTCAGAGTGTTTACGTAACTGCTTGAATTGCAGAGCCAATTTAAAAATAATTTCTGTCCATCTGGAGTGGATTTAAGAGATGAAGGAGACGTAAATGATATAAACCTACGGAATGTTCTTGAAATTGAGGGGAGAAAGGTATAGTGTGGCAGTAAGTCACCCTTGCTGTGAAGGGCTCCTGGCGTCTGCTGCCTCGGGGAGGGAGCTCTGTAGGTTTGCTGAACAGATTTCTGAATCTTGGAGCGGAGGGGACGAGTAGCAGAAATCAGATGACGCGTTGCAGGCACTTACTGTGTGGCTCACAGCACCCCTGTGAGGTGGGTGTCATTACTGTCCCCACCTTAGCTCAGAGGTTGGAGTAAGTCACTGAGGTGTGGCTGGTCAGTGGCAGAGGCTGAATTGAGGCTTCCCCCAGGCCCCTTTCTCGTCATCTGCCGCCTCTGGCTTTAGGAACACAGCCTCACCCATCAAGCCCCCTCATGTGGGTTAGGTTTGAGCTCTGGGTCCCATGTGCCTGGTGAAGCTGGAAAGAACCAGTCACTTGGAGCCTAGCTGGCTCTGCCCCTGTGCGAGCCCAGCCGGCCCTGGGCCACCGTGTGGGGCCAGGCGCCCTGGTCTGGTCTGACCCGAGTCTCCCTAGGGCGAGGCGTGCGGCTCTACTACATCGGAGGGGAGGTCTTCGCCGAGTGCCTCAGCGACAGCGCCATCTTCGTGCAGTCCCCCAACTGTAACCAGCGCTATGGCTGGCACCCTGCCACCGTCTGCAAGATCCCACCAGGTAATCACACCTCCACACGTCCTTCTGAGCTCCTCTCCCCCATGGCGCATGCCTGGGTTGCTGGGGAGGTTGCTGTTTTCCTGATGTTTGCTCCTCCTCGTGGTTGGCATGGCCAACCTGCGGGTGCTCCATCTGGGTTTTCTCTGAGCCTTACCTTCTTACAGCGCCCTCCCTGGCCCTCTAGGGAGCAGACACAGCATCGGACGGACCTGCCTTTGACCCGTGGGCACCTGCTCAGGGCTCTGTGTGTGTGGACGCTCAGGCAGTCTCCTTCCTTCCTCCCTTCCTTCCACAAAAGGTGGTGCTACAGGGGACAGAGGGTGCAGGGCCTGCTGCCGGCTGCACAGACCTTACACACCAGCGGAGTGTGCAGAGCAGCACAGAGGGTGCTCTTGGATTCGGGAGGGCAAGCATTTGCCTGTGGGGTGGATCAGGGACCCCCTCGCGGAGGAGAAGCATAGGCCCAGGGCGACGAGGGGTGAGGACGGGGGAGGGGTTCCAGGCTTAGGGGACAATACGGCGAGGGCCTGAGGGGGTGGAGGGCAGGCACGCAGGGGCAGCACTCTGGCTGGAGGTGAGGCCATGTAGAAGACAGGGGAAATGTTTAGAAAGCATGAGGGGATCCAGCCATGGAAGGACATAAAAGTTTGCTTTTATTCTGAGGAACTGCTGAGGGTTTTCTTTCTTTCTTTCTTTCTTTTTTAAATGTTTTTTATTGGTTTCAGAGAGGAATGGAGAGGGGAGAGAAGTAGAAACATCAATGATGAGAGAGAATCACTGATTGGCTGCCCCCTACTGGGGATGGAGCTTGCAACCTGGTCTGGTCTGACCCACGGGCATGTGCCCTTGACCGGAATCAAACCCGAGACCCTTCAGTCCACAGGCTGACGCTCTATCCATTGAGCCAAACCAGCTAGGGCGTGTTGAGGGTTTTCTGCGTAGGGCTGATGAATCGCACCTGTACTCCAGGAAAGGGTGGCTTGGACAGGGCCAGGCCTGGGGAGCAAGACCAGGCAGGAGGCCGATCCCAGCTAAGTTCCCTATTAGAACACAGAGGCAGATGGCCCAGCCAAAGCCCACTTTTCACGGGGTGTACAGTTTAGCCACGGGGCACACAGCTGGTATGGCCCCGGTCAGGCCGAAGACCGTGAGGCAGGTGTGGCTTGTCTTTTCCTTCCCACTGAGGAGCAGATGAGAGTGGAACCCTGGGTCCTGGGCAAGGCCAATGTCAGAACCCAGATACTCCTAAGTGATAAGTGCTCTGTGTTCCCAGAGCGTTGTGTGGTTGTGCCTACCGAGTCCATTTATATCTCTGCTGTTAGTCTTCCCCAGGTATTCTGGCTCTTCAGGTGAGGAGGCATATTGAGGAGACCAGTTCAGAGAGGTTAAGCCACCTGCCCAAAGAGCACAGCTAGTAAGTGGCTGAGCCAGGTGAACCCAGGACTGACTGTGTGACTCCTGAGCCTCGTTCTCCTCTGTTTGGCTCAGCTCGTCTGGAGCCTACTTTGGCCCTACCTCACCGTGCTCCCCCTGGAGAAAACTAGAAGAGGAAGCTGGGTTGCATTCTTGGCGTTCTGCCCGCTCCCTTCCCCAGCCCTCCCCCCTTCTGTTCCGTGAGGGCTGAGTTGGCTGTGGTGGTGTCTGTTCGCTCATAGAATGTCAGCGCTCGCTCAGGGTCCTCTGAGGCCAGCCCCTCATTTCATAAAGGAGACACCCGCTTGCAAAGAGAAAGTGACCAGCCCAGAGTCACACGGCGAGATTCGGAGCGTCCTGTTGGCCCGTTGGTCCGTGTCACCTCAGCTCACCTCTCGGGCCTCTCCAGCATGTGCTTTTGTCTTTATTTTTTCTGGGGAACACATTCCTGGCACTCGGGTGGCAGGACTTCAGACAAGAGATTTGTTATAAACTTTATGTGTGCCTGTCTCTGGTTTTACTGCCTGGAGAGTTAGACACACACCTTCACTTTGCCGTGAATGTCACCCCAACCCAGCCTGGGGCCCAGAGGCCAAAAAGGGGCCCAGGTGGCTCCCTCCCTCCTGTCCCCAACATGAGGTGGACTCAGAGGAGCTGGCGGGAGGCGCCTTGGGGCCCCGGGATGAGTTCTGTGATGGGATGGCAGGCGTAGCTTTCCGCTGGCCCGTCTCTGCCCCACTCACTCTGCCGAATGACAAGGGGTCATTTTTCCCCAGGCGGCCGGCCAAACCCCACACAGCCGTGGGCTTTCTGGCTCGGGTCCCTTGTCTCTCTGTTCCCTTAGCCCAGGGCAGGCCCACCTCTCCAAGCCCTCTCCCTTGTTCTTGGTGGCCCACTGTACTGCCTTTCCCAGTGTTCCCCACAGCTCTGGGAGCTGGAGCTTGCAGGCCAGTGTTTCATTCTCCCCCTCACCTATGCCAGCGGTACCCCCATGGAGGTGGCATGGCTTCAGGGCGGGGTGCCGAGCGTGGAGGAGGTGTGAGTTGGGACCTTCCGGGTGACCCAGGGGTGGTTTTAGCCAGGAGCGGAGCACCGGACACGCCCGGCCTTCGTCCTCAGGACCACTGTTTTTGTTCTGTTGACAGGATGCAACCTGAAGATCTTTAACAACCAGGAGTTTGCTGCCCTCCTGGCTCAGTCCGTCAACCAGGGCTTCGAGGCCGTCTACCAGCTGACTCGCATGTGCACCATTCGCATGAGCTTCGTCAAAGGCTGGGGAGCGGAGTACAGGTCAGCACTGGGGGGGGTGGGGGAGCGCGTGTCTGAGGGCCCAAGGACGGCAGGGGTCTCCACACAGCAGAGCAGGGCCCCCTCAGAGACGACCCAGGCCAGCCCTCGCCCAAAGAACAGAGGGAGGGATCCGAGAGGCCAAGACCTGGCAGGCTGATAAGGAAGAGCTGAGCAGTGCTGGCCCAGGGCCTCAGACACGTGCTCCGTGCCACCTCACACTACCCTGGGCGGGACACTGCATCACCCTGCTGTGTGTGTGTGTGTGGGGGGGAGGATGCGGGGCTGAGGCCCAGGGACGGAAAGTGACTGCCCAAAGCCACATCGTTCGTGGAAAGGCTGAACCTAGGACCTAGATGGTACCCTCCTGGCTTCCTTGTTCATTCGGGCAGATGGGTCAGCACGACCTGCCCGACAGAGTCACCTTTTCTTCTCCTCGTTCCTTCCGGCCTCTGTGGCTCCATCTCTGACTGGGTGACCCTGAGCACCTGGAACATTAAATAACCGAGAAGCAGGGGAGGAGGAGGGGATCTGGGTAGTCGTAGAGGAACAGAGCTCCCTTGCTCAGAAGAGAAACGGTGTCTCTCAGAATTTCAGATACTGGTTTAACCTAACATGGTCAGGGCTGCCCTGGTCTGCTCTGAGCCTCTCCGACCACTCGGGTTTGGGCTTAGAGAATCCAGGCCCTTCTCTTTCACACCTGGACGTGGGGGGGAAGGGGGCTCCTGAGAGGCAGAGCTGTGGGCCCCTCCTCCTGCTCACAGCCCTCGCTTCCCGCTTGCACCCCAGCCCAGCCCCGAGGCAGACGCGGAGGTACCCACACATCAGCAGGAGCCAGCGCCTTGCAAGTTACTCGCCCCTTCTCTTCATTTTTCCAGATGTTTGGAATCCATTTTGTTTTGCAGTCATTCTGCACCCAAGCCAAACCCATTTCAGTATTGGCTCCGGGCCACCGTTTATAATGAAATCCAGATGAGCATGACTTATGGAAAGTCAGATTCTCATTAGAGGATTTGGGTCCGTGAAATCTTCCTCTCCCATTTACCATATTCTAGCTGCTGTTCCCTGTATGCCCCACAGTGCCAGGGAGCACAGCGCCTTGGTCTGTGGGGGTCTCCCTGAAATCCAGGAGTGGCCAACTGAGCAATTAAAGGGGTCAGACCTCAGGAGAACTCTCCACACAGTTTTAACGGCCTGCGATTAGCCCAGGCCCAGAGGCCTAGCCCAAGGGACGTTTTAGCCCACCTTTTAGCCCTGGCTAAATCACTTGGGGACCAAGAGTGGAAAGGTTAGAAAATTAATACACATATTTTACTGGGGAAGGGAAGTGTTTAAAGATGGGCCCAATGGAAAAAAACCAGAGGGAGGTCCATTTGCTCTTCTTACATCAGACTATAGTCCTGAGGGCCATCCGCAGGCCCCAGGTCAGGCAGGCACCCAGGGTGAGTCTGCAAGCTCATTTCTCGCCCTCCCCTGGGGTGAGGCGAGGTGGGCGGTGCCCTGAGGCCAGCGGCCCTTGACCTGGCGTGGCACCACCGCCCTCAGCTTCAAGTGCTGGGAAGAGGCCCCTTGGTGGCGGAAGCCATTCTCTGGGGGCACTGTGTCACCGCGCTGGACACAGTGCCAGCACACCCCGTCCCGGGCGGCCCACCACGTCACTGCCACCTGGCAGCACCGCAGGGCAGCCTAACTGGTGGGTGCGGCCCCTTCCCAGAACAGCCTTGCCCTCCGCCTGCCTCCTGGGCCAAGGAGAGTAAGGTTTCATCCCTTCTCTGTGAGGTGGCCGAAAGCAGGCCCGGGCCCAGGCCTCTCACCTCCAGCTGGCACCGCGCCCGCAGCAGATAGCCTTTGCTCAGCGGAGGCCTTTGGGAGCGCGCCTGCGGGCTGCGTCACCAACCAGCCTGAGTGTAGACAAAGCGCTTTGGGGAAAAGAAACGTGTGGTGTGCCCTGGTTTTTTCCAGTAATTGTTTCATGGCTCGCTCTGCTGGTAAGATTTTCCAAAATAAGGCCGTAGATGGGAATTATATCAGCACATTGGGAACCGACGGCATGCGGACTCTGTCGGCGCTTTGTAAAAAACACCCCTCAATCAGACAGACACACGTCATCGCGGGCTGCTGGGGCTGGGCCGGGGCTGGATGTGGGCAACTGAGGCGCCCATTCAGGACAGAGGGGACCCGGGGAGACCTTTGTTCCGGCTGAAGGCTGTCAGGGGCCCCTCACAGCCACTGGGGGGCCTCTGGGGTGCCCTGGAATTTGCCTTCCACTTTAACTCTTTAAGGGCCATCTCCTTCCCCATCAGGAGAACCTGATTCACTCAAAGCTCTTCTTAGTCGGAGAGTTGGGCGTGGCAGATTCTGCAAGTTATCGGCACCACCTGTAGGATCCTCGGGGTCTAGCAAGCCAGGGTCTATCTATGACCCTGGGAGAAGACTGTTACCGAAGCAGGAAAAGGTGTACTTATCTGTGTGTCCTGCTGGACATTTTAAACACCTCCCACCCCTTTCCCTTTCCCTATGTCTTGTAGGAGACAGACGGTGACCAGCACCCCCTGCTGGATTGAGCTGCACCTGAATGGGCCTTTGCAGTGGCTTGACAAGGTCCTCACCCAGATGGGCTCCCCAAGCATCCGCTGTTCCAGTGTGTCTTAGAGACAGTGGGTGGAGGGGAGGGCGGGCTTGGGGAAAATGGCCGCATAGGAGGTGGAGAAAACTGGAACTCGACTCAACTCACTGTTGTCAAGGAAGAAGACATTTTTCTCCCTCAACCGAAGTGGCACCAACCTGTTCTCCAAAACACAAAAGCAAACCCAGAGATGGGTTTTATGAACAGCTGTTTGCTGAACATTTGCCCTCTGGCCCAATTTTGAAGGGCAAGAAATGCCTTCTGCTTTGGTGGCTTGAGCAAACAGGTAGTATGTCACCACATGCCCCCTGCCCCTGCCCCCTCCTTTCTCGATGACAGCAGTCTGGGATGGCACTGTCCAACACGCAAAGGCCTGGAGTGTGGAGTTCACCTTGGGTGTTCCAGGTAGGGACGAGCCTGCAGGGGTGTGAGTGAACCCCATGCCCGACCTTCCGGCGCTTCTGACACATGCCTCTTGAGCTGAGCACCGCGAGCCCCAGCACTCCCTCAGCGGACCCTGCACTGGGAACTGGGCCGACTTGGGGTTGGGAGGGGCTTGTGGTCTCCTCCCCCTCAGAGCAAACAGATTGGTGTGAACCAGCATTCAGACCACCAGGGGCAGTGGGGAAAGCTGGTGGGAGTGACCTCTTTCCAAAACACTCTTAGGTGTCCTTTCTCACTTGGAGCAGTTAGAAGGATCTGCCGAGGCTCAATGCACACGCAATGAACAGTTCGTCACATTAATCTCAGAGAGATTTGAATTACGTGAAGTGTTCACAGAAAGCAAGAGGTGTTGTGGCGTGATGGCGTTCAGGCTACGGGGGCACTACACTGCGTGGGGCCCAGGCGTAAGAGCTCACTTCGTATTCTCGTGCATTGGGCTACTGTTATGTAGTCAATTGCATTAATTTAATGAGCTTTATCATGTGCTCTTCGTTTTATACTTAAATCCTGGGCTGGCACATGGACTGGAAACCAGAGTGGGACCCAGTGACATCTCCCCCAAGGAGCAGCTTTTGCAGGTTTTGTTGAGAAGACACCTGCCAGCAGTTTTGGAAGCTGAAATTAACAGAAGCAAATTCACCAGGAGGGAAAACTCTCAGGCCAACATAGGCAAATGAAAGGGCTATTGACATTTTTTTACACCTTTGAAAATTGCAGGCTTGGTGCAAAGAGGTCTGTCATCTTTCCCCTGGGGTATAAGGTTATCTAGTTCTCGTAGAGGATTACCAGTGACAACTCTAGCAGTCATATTGTGTAATAAGTACTGCTCCCAGTGGCAATTAGTGAGGAAACTATTATGAATTATTTCAACTGGAAAAAAAGAGCCCTTTTGCAGAATACAGCAGACAGCATTGCTACTTGCAATTGGTACTTTATTCTTTGCTGCTGTTTTTTATATGAAATGACTTATCCCATATTTTTGCATGAATTTCTACCAGGAAAAATAAAGGGGTTTCCTATGGAAGTCCTGTCTTAATTCCAGGTGAAGGGAAGAAAGTATATACTTTGGCAGGTTATCCACCTCAAATGTGATGACATTTCTGATGCTACGTGGAGAGGTGGGAGGCTTGCCAGAGCCTCGCCTGCAGGATCCTACGCCTCTGAAGCCCCAGCCTTGAGGTTTCCAGGTGGGAGCTGCTCACCACGCCTCCTGAGGACACAGGAAGAGACAGATGGGGAGCAGCACTTGCCAGACCTGTGCTAGTCTCCTCACAGGGCCACTGACAGAACCGAGACAGTGCACAGCTCCGCATTCCACCTGAGAGCCAAACACTGTGAAGTTTGTGCCTGGTGTGAAAGGACCTGTGGACCGCTGCTTACCGGTGCGGGAGGCCGTCGGGACGCCTGGATGTGCAGCCGTGCTCCCGGTCAGGTCTGACCCGTGGTGCGCATTCCACTGTGGCCTCTCCTAACAGCCATGGGCATTGGTTCCTGAGGGCCTGCATTCTCCACCTGCTCCACGATCCTGTGAGGGCTTCCTCTGGCACCGGCTGTCCTGTAGGTACTTGGCAACTTAGCTTCAGGTACAGCCCCACTTTGGTGATTGAACGGCCATGTTTGGCTCTATGTGAATGGTGCCTTAGAACCCTCAATGCTTTGTGTTTTTCCAAAAGCTGCTTACTTGGTCCTTTTTCTTTGTAGACTAGACTCCTGTGGGAGGCAGCAGAAGGAAAATGCAGGTAAGCCGACCTTTGGCACCACTGAACGCAATCTGGTCTTACCTAGAGCTTAGGACCTGGCCGCTCTGGTCACAGAGGCTGCACAGGTGCTTTGGGGCCTGTGTAATAAGTGTCCTTTGTCACAAAACTAGTTATATTTTTTAAGTCCTGTCGTATGAAAGGCATTTATACATTTAACAGCTTTTTTAAAGGACAGCTGAAAGGCGCAAGAGGAAACAAGGGCAGTTCTAGAGGGTGACAGTAGCTGTTAGGTAGCAGTTAAGTGTAGTTGTCCAGGCTCTCCACCAGGTTGCCTTCACCTTGCAGCCCAGAGTAGCTAGCCCTGGGGCGCGGGGCCTCAGCACCTCCCCCAGGAGCCAACTTCTATTCCCTTTCCTCTCCTCCCCCTTCCAAACTTTATTTAGTAACTTCGATCCTTCCAGAGCACACGTAGGGAGCCGCCCAGCGGTTCCGGTTACAGGCCTGTGCTGGAACATCATCTCAGCTGGCCAGCTTCCCGGCGGGCTGTAGAAGACCTGACATTTTGAGACAAGCCTGGAGTCAGGAGCAGGGACTTTGACTCTTAGAACACATGAGGGCAAGGCTGCTGGCAGACTTTTCCATTGTCCTTATGTTGTCTGTGCTGCATTTTTTTTTTTATCGACCATGATTATTTTTTAAAAATCATTGTTAATGTATTGGAATGAGCTGTAGCACGTATCTTGTGCTTAGTTTTTTTCTTTCTTTCTCCATCTCCCCTTGACTTCCTAGAGTGTGGATGTATTCCAAGGCTAAATGCTTTTACTCAGACCGCAGAAACAGGTTTTCTGTAAGCAGTGTGCATGTCATGCATGTATGAGCAGTCGGGAGAAGGCAGCTATCTGACTTCATCCTTAGCTGCCCTTTCTGAGGCTCCCTGTACGTCTCTGCACGGGGGGAGCCCCACTAGGCCACTCTGTCTAGTCCTTAAAAGGTGGAGGGAGAGGAATCCACAAACAGCTCGTGGGACTACTTACTTACCAGGGGTTACCAGTAGCAAGAGAGGGCATGAGTTTAGTTCCGGACCCTGTGCCTCACTGTGTGACTTGAAGTGGCAGAGTTGGGCGTTTTCCCAAAATCTCCATCGATGACTCGAAGTTGTACCATTTTTCTTTGTGTGGCATACATGTCCCCTTCCAGAATCCCTTCAAGTTACCATCTTCAAAATGTATATCACCCTTTTAAAGAGCATCAGCTACTTCTCAAGTGGGGGGTGGGGGGGAGTAGAAAAATTTACATAGAGGACATGGATCAAAAATGAAGATGAGGCATCTCTGGTAGAAGGAAATGACCGGACGTCCAGGCAACGCTGCAGAAACAAACTTGCCTATCGTGTAAACTGGATCGAGAACTTCTCAGTGATTCTGAAATTGATTTTATGCTCAAGTAATGTACACTCTTGCATCCTGGTGTTTTCTATTTATATAATAACTATTCAAGACAGACAACTATTTAATTTTCTTGAAGAAAATTGGAAAGGTCTCTCCTCCCAAAGCCAGTGGCTGGGAAGAGCTGGAGGCACAGCCAGTTCTGATGTGGGTTGAGGCGCAGAGGCTTTTTTTGGCTCAGCATCCAGACACACCAGCCCAGGCTCGCTAATCATGTCGAGGCGTGTGACAGCAGGCAGCTCTGAGCCTCTCCCTGCCTGGGGGTGAAAACTTTACATGGAGGGCTGGAGCCCCTTCTCCAAGACACCTCCGCTTACCCTCCTGCAACAAGGCTGTTCAGGTCGGCACTCTTGGAATGGGAATAGAGCATGGACGACGTCGACCACCTTCACTTCTCAGCCAGCCTGACCTTTTAATACCTTTGTAAAAAGCATGTACGTATTTATAGTGTTTTAGCTTTTTCTAACTTTTGTATCGTAAGAGCAGAGCACCTGGTTAAGCATTGTACTATTGTACTATTAAAGATTTGTCCCCTCTGTCCTTCTCTTCCAAGTGCCCTTCTAATAAACTTTTCCTGGAAAAGCTCCTGCACTGGAGCGGTCTCCTTCTTGCTGCCCTGTCTGGGTGGGAAGAGGATTTACAAGGGAATCCAGTGGGGCGCTAGGGAGAAATGTCTCTAAGCCCTAATGTCCTTTGACCAAGGATGTGCCACAGCCTCATGTAATGCACCACGGGCCTCACTCACTCCCCAAGGGCCACATGCAGTGCCAGCAGGAGCCCCTGGGTCAAAAGTCCCACCCCCGTTGCATCTGCCTTGGCACGCACAGGTCCTACAGCTGCTGTCTCTCCATTGTCACTTTGCAGTCTTTTCCCCTGGACTTAAAGGCCTTTGAAATGATTAGATGCCACCAGACTACTCTTCCCCTAGGCATGGAGACAGTTTTAGATTCATAAGTGAGGTTTCCAGCTCAGATGACTCTTTAGCCTCCTGTGAAAATTCATTTTAAACTCCCAAGAAGACAGACTTCAATATTTTCTCCTTGGCTGAATCTTACACTGACCCTAGCTGATGTGGATTAAATACCAGGATGATTAAAACAATTTGGAGGAGGAAGACAGAATGGGGCTGGCACAGTCATTAGCTGGGCCACTTACACAGCAGCCTTCCTTCTAAGGACCTTACCAGAGTTCAGACCCCTCCTGAAGGGAGGAAGGCAGAGTTCACAGGAACTACATCAAAGTCCTCCCTTTGTGATTATTATTTGGCCAATTCTCCCCTCCTGCCCTATAAAGACTCCCCATTAAGGTTTTATCTAATCTGTATTTCTCAGCAAATGGCTCAAATCCATACCTCTAACCCAACCTGTCCTTTGAGCTAAACTTTAAATTCCAGCTGCCTGTCAAATGTGATTTAAAGCATAACACCCACAAACTGAATCATCTATTTAACAAAAATATGTGGCGAGCTAACTCCTTTCCTGACTCCCCATTTTTATCAGTCGCTTCTCTCTAGCTCCCTCTGCCCCTTCTCCAACTCCTGAGCAGCCTTGCTCTCCATCACCTCTGCTGCCTGTCAATCAAACCTCCCTTTCGGAAAGGCCTTGCTCCCTGAATGGCCTGGCTCCCCTTGGCACAACCTCCTCTTTTTCTTGTACCTGCACTTACTCCTTCTGTCCGGTTGGTGTTCCCAAGCCACTGCATGTGTTCTTGATGTTCCTCCCCAAGTGATCTCATCTACTCACAAGATTTCAGGCCACGTAAATGCTAATGACTTCCACATCAGTATTCACAGCCTGGATATCAATCCCGGGCTTCCTATCTGTAGCTAGCAGCCGTGGGCTAATGATCCGTGGAGATGCCACAAATACCTCAAACTCATAACTTAAAAAGCAAATTCACCACTGCCCTTATTGAATCATCACCCTCTCCTCTGGCCTTCAGCCCCATTTACCCATCCTATAGCCACAGAAGTCACAGTCACCCGCCCTCCCTCACTCCCCACATCCAATCCGTCCTGTTTCCCACTCTCACTGCCCTACACAGGTCCTTGAGCACCCGGACAACTGCACCAGCTTGATAATTACTCTCCTAGTCTCCAGCCTGTTTTCCTGTACATGCAGCATCCGCACCACCCCCAGTGACCTACCTGACCTTAGATGCCCCCACACCCTCAGCCACAGCACATTCTAAGGTCTTTAACATGGACCACTTGACCTTCATCATTGGGCCCCATGTCGCTCTCACAGCTGGCTGCCTTATACTCTGCTTGGAACGTTAACCCCTCCTCCCTAGGCTAACCCCGGCTCCGGCCTTTCTGACACCAGCTCTGTTGGCTAACGGTCACTAATGCTTTGCTTTCAGACATCTCCAGGAAGCCCTGTGAATCTATCACCACATTCTCAACTGTCTTCACCATGGCTTTCTCCTCCTCTAGGCTGCGAGTTCCCTGAGAGCAGAGTTTGTATCTTATTTTTATACCCCCAACTTCTTTTGGCCACTGCATATTTTTGTTAGATAAATGAATCAATTAGAGCCCATATTTAGAAGATTCTACCTCAGCAATACCTTTGCATCCATTTCCAATGTACTATTCTATAGTAAGTCCTTATAAATAGCCAAAGGAATACCACCAAACAGTTCCTGATGACCTTTTATCAGAGCTATTCCAATAGTCTCTAAATCTGTCTCCCTCTAGTCCGGGGATGGCAAATATGGGGCAAAACTGCCACCATTCTCTATCCACGGTGAAACCACTAATCACAGCATTTGGTCCATTCTCAGCCTCAGAATCCTTCTCAACGCTTCTCTCCAAATAGTGCTAATTAATTAGTGTTGGCTAATACTACTGCCCGATTTCCTTGGAGTGTAATTATAGTTAATGTCTCTTCTTGACTCCTCAATTACCTCCAGAGGAAACACAGGCCCCACAAAGTAGGATTTCATGGTTCTCTCCAACATCATCAATCCATCCTTACCCATCACCACTCCTCTAATTGGACTACCGGAGTTTTCCCAACAGAACTCCTTGCATTATCTCCATACCTTTGTTCATGCCGTAACTTCCACCTATCTGCCCAAATTCATATCCTTTCGGCTCAATGCAAGCATCACTTCCTGTAAGTCAGTGGGTCTCAAAATGTGGTCACTAACCAGTTACATCAGTATCACAGTAGAAACACATTCCGAGGCCCCACCCTGGACCTACTGAATCAGAAACTGGGGTAGGGCCCTCCAAGGGATGCTGATGTGGGCTCAAGTTTGAGAACCCCTGCTCCCAGCTGCGTTTTATGCTCCTCCCAACAGTGCTCTCCTCCCCACAAGCAATAAGGGCTGGTCAGGGTGCTCTGCACATTCTGCTCAGCATTCCACCTTTTGTGCCCTCACCCAGCTTGTCCCCTCCTCCCACCCGAGTTGGATGATGAGTTCCTAGAGCAAATACATCCTTACTGAGTCTGCAGCCTCTGCTGCACCTGGCCTCGTCTGGCACCAAGAAAGTTCCCAATCAGTGCTGGCTGAACCCGGGATCCTTGTTTCATCAGGTTAAAGGAATAGGTTAGTTGTTTTTTCTCACCTTTTAGACCTAACTTCACCATACATGACTTCCTGAGAATTCCCTGGAGCAGCAGGATTGGTGCAGACCAAGTCCTTGGGCTCAGATGAAGAGAATCTTTTCTCTGTTAAACTATGCTGCTGTTTTCTTACAGTTCCTACCCCAGGCCTCACTCAGCCCGTGTGGTTATAGCATTAAAGCCACCTGGTTGATATGAGAAAGGGGAGAGGCGATGACTGTTCACATCCTTCATAGGAGAGAACCAGGAAGGCTGGTCATGAACTGCTGTATGTGCCCTTTTTGTGCCGCACAAATTTGTAGTTATGGGAAGAGAGTATTTGAATCTATCAACATATACACACAGATATTAAAGGGGTCTAGAGAAAAAAAGTTCTTTTCTTGCCAAACCTGTGTTCCAAAGATGCAGTAATAACTATTAAGTCCTGGTTTTGAATCAGTACTTTCCCAATGGGAAACAAAGTAGAACTGTATAAGTCATCAAGAGCTGGAATGCGCTCAGTGGTGCTCCAACAAAAGGCCCATACATTGCTATTACCTCTATTAATTCTTCAGTCTGCAAATCAGAAACACCTCGGAACAGAGCAAGACGCTTCCTCTACTAGAAGAACTGCAACACACACACACACTTCACTCTGAATAAAGAAATCTACATTAAGAGCAAGACCTGTGATGTTAATAACAGGCATATAGGTCATGCCCAAAGTAAAAAACTTAGAGAATTTCTAAGACCCTTTCTACAAGAGTTTATATGCCAAAGGTGCAAGCATGGATCACTAAACTAACCTCCAAGTAGAATCTAAATCAAAATTAGAACTCTGCCCTGCATAGTCAGCATGCTACTTTATGAGATATACAAATGATGGGGAGTTAATAGGGTGTTGTTTTCAAGCCAATCCTAATAAGAAGGTACACTTGACCAGATATTTTACATTTTCTCCACCTTCAATCTTTTAATGAAATTTGATATTTAATGACAGAATGCTATAGCTAAATTGTCTTCCCTATTTTTAAATTTGTGTGTGTGTGTGAAGGACAACTCCAACTCATTACAGCACTCTCTGGAAGTCTGTCTCCATCAATCAGAGCATTTAATGAATCAGGACCTCTGACCACACTAGACACATGTTTGCTAAATTTAGCTTTGCATCAGCAAACACAAGCTCAGAATAGTTCATGGAGCTCTCATCTTACCCTTAGACAGTGATTCTTCTAAGACTGTCTTTCTATGGCAGGCCAAGGCAGGGTAAGGGGCGCGCCACGCGCTCTCCCTATGGCCATTGTTAAGAGACTGGCCCAAGGTGGAGGGGATGTAACAACAGCCACGGCAAACACATTTATCCCCACCTCTCCATGACAGGAACTTGCAGTTAGCCATTTATCACATCTCATGTGGTATAAGTGGTTTGCAGTAATGGCCTGACATGCTCTATGGTCCTTGAACCACATCCCATATTACTCAGCCATCTAAGTCTAGCTTCTCTGAATCTCCAGCTTCTCTGAATTAGATGTGGCCAAGTTCTATAAATAGAGAGCAAGCAAACTGCTTCTGTCAATCTTCTCATATTCTGGCAGGGTAACATATTTTAAAATTATAAAAATAACTATGTCTTCATCACTCTAAAATTATTACATAACACACGATTTTCTCAGGGGGAAAAAAGCTTACTGTCTCTCCCTACCTTCCGACACTGATGGACCTTCAAATTTTGTGATAATATTCATCAAACTATCAAATACAAACCAAAATTAAGGTCCCACTATGTGCCAAACAGTGTGTTATACAAATAGATAAATATTGCAAGAGGAGGGGGGTAGACAATTCTCTCATATTAAATCCCTGGTGGACAGTCCATAATAACTTGTGAATGGCAACTACAAAGGTCACTTTAGATAAAGTACAACTTTTATTACACTACTAGAGGCCCATTGCATGGATTTGTGCACCAGTGGGGTCCCTCAGCCTGCCTGCGTCCTCTCGCAATCTGGGGATCGGGCCAAAACCGGCAGTCCAACAC